TTTGGATGATGATTAACAATGTTGCATTTGTTACAATGTTGCATTCACCTGTTCCTGTTATACTTTGTTACACATTCTACTTTAGAAAACACCAGATGTTCTCTTTTAGGACACTCACACTGTCCTTATTTACTGTGGTCTTTCCAACCTTATTTCTACACTAGACCTCAGGCTAACTAAATCCCAGAAACTCCCTCACTTAGAATTTTGCCCTAGAGCTAAGTCCCTCCCTTCTGAACTTTAGCCCTCATAGTCCCTTTCTTCTGGACTGTTACCCATCAAGACCCGGTCTGACTTCAATTGTCAGCCACAGAATTCTTTATCATCAACAGCCCAAGATTTTATTGGCCATCACCAGCTTATTCCTGATAAGCTGTTGCTAGCTTGGCATAATTCTGCCTATTCCCCACAGTGATCATGGTGTCACCCCACTTTATGGTGTAACCCGGTGCGATCTGCACCAAGCATGCCTCCTGCCTCCTAGTGACACTTCTGCCACAAAACTGGCACAGGAGAGATTTCTCAGCCACTGCTTAGCCAGCTACTTGGTTGCTGCTCCCAGCATGACAGGTGGCAAAGGGAGAAGTGACTGAGAATATTTTAAATGTGAAGTTGAACAGTAGATCTAATATCAAGAAATATGTGTGGGACTGGTGCTTGGATTATTATCTAAAAGGAAAAGGGGCGGTAGCTCAAAAAGGTTTGGGAACCACTGGCCTACATGGATACCTTCTTAACTGAGAACAACTACAATGATGTCTATTTAGGCCAGTGATTTCAACATCCTCATTTTCTTTTCTGTTTGATTTTTAACAATTCTGCCTGATGAAGAAGCCAATGGAGCTTCGAAAGCTTGCAACAAATATTTTGTACATTTTGGATGGCTCAATTTTGAATATTCTGGAAGTATTCACTAGTTTGCAGGATCAGTGACCTACATTTAATTAATATTCCTAACACCTTTCATAGATTTTGGGGGGCTTTCAAAACCTATCCAGTGCTGTATATATCCATGCTGAGTATCTATTGCTGCATATATGCATGCTGAAAACAGTGATATCACAAAGTGCAGGGATCTGGATATTTTATTTACTCAAAATGGCAGTATGGATTAGATGGTGTCAGTAGCAAGGACAGAATATCACACAATAGACCTAGGAAAACAGCATAGGTCAGCAACTACACACAGTAGCTGGCACTGGAGTTAAAGGATGGAACAACAAGCAATAGTGGATGGCAACACAACAGCTCCCCTCAGCCAACTTGAATTCTCAGTATCCTCAGTAAAAATTGTAATACTGCCCTGAGTGTGGAAGTAACAAATTACTCATAGCTTGCAATTAATTCATTTTTCCTATATCAAATGTACACTTTACTTACAGTACAATTCTAACCATTGTAACTAAACATGGATTACTACTCTTGTCATGTAACTATAATATCAAAATGTTGCCTTTCTAGTTAGAAGTGTGAGGCCTCTCCAAGCTGTAGAAGAAGAACTTCCCATGGTTCAAGTGCTGCTGTATAGATGTTAACATGAGTAGGAAGGCTACAGGGGGGGGTATTTTTTGACTATGTAGATATAAAGGGGATGTTATGATAAATCAAGCATTTTTCATGCTCTCTGTATGTGTATGTTTTCTGATATGACCCTAAAATGGAAATCCAGTTGCTGCCATGTGCCCAGAGGTGAATTGGTCATGTAGGCACACTAGTCATGTAGACCCCAGAACTCATTTACAGATCAACCAACTAGTTTCAGGAGTTGCAAACAGAGAAATTCACACCTCTGAAGACAAGGAAGCTAGAGGATTTATGGCTTGTATAACTTTTGGGCACAAGATAGATAAGACCCATTACCCCCCTCTGGAATCTATCTACTTCAAGGAAACCTTCATGTTAATTTGACTCTTTTGATGTACAGCAATCAGCCTTCACCCCAGGCTATTTTCAGCCTATAAAAAGACTACCAAAATTCTGGTTAAGTGTCACTGGTTAGAATTCATGGTGGCACTATGTCACTCTGAATCCTGGTCCAGATCCAACTCGTCTCATGGTCCTGTCCCTTCATCTGGTCGAGTCCAACTATAC